TTCTTTATTATTTTTAGAAGTGTGAAATAATGCAAAGTTCTTTAAAAAAATGTTTGCCAGTATTTGGGATTGTTTCTTTGAAATAGAAAATTCGTAGAATTCTGCAATAAATATAAACTGTCGAATCAGAAATGTGCTGCAAACTCTTTTTATCTAATAAAGAAAAAAATATATAGCAAAATAAGGACCATTGAGTTAAAGTGTTAGATGGAATAGTTAGTCCTCCACTATTTAAAGTATTTAAATAATTTCCGTATTTTCCATAATATGTAATTGTATCATCTCCAATTTCTTCAGGGGAACACTTTTGAACATAACCAGCAATAAAGACAATAGAATATAAAGTTTCTATATTTATGCTATCTTCTAGATCTGCTAAATTGTAAACAATATCAATTTCCCTATCATCTAAATCTTCAAGACATAAAAGACAGTCATGGCCATCATTTCCTTCTACATCAATATTTAGCTGCAGCACCAGCTTAGCATGCTGAATAAGAACTTTTTCAATAACTGATTTAGCGGTTATAAAATAAGTTCCACCTGATCCTTGATGTGATTTTCCAAAGCATTTTTCAATTGGATCCGAAGAAAACCAACCTAAAATTACACATTCATTTCCAATTTTTTTTTTTTTTTTTTTTTATTATTATTTTTTTTTGATTCACCTCCTCAAGGCTGAGAAGACCACTACAGACGAGGAGGCTACTTATTTGTGGCTATAACCCTCTCTCAACTCTATAACTCCGAAACCCGAACCTTGACGAACAAGGCCGCTGCGCGGAGAAACGAGTTGAGCGCGGTACTACCAGGGACGTGGTGGGGATCGAACTCGGAACCACTCGTTTATGAAGCGAGCGCTCTACCACTACACCACTACCGCATTGCTCTACCACTACACCACTACCAATTGATAAAAGATAGCAAGATAAATCAATTAGGCCACGACAGGTATGTGAAAGTGCATTGCTTATATCTTTTGTAAGCTGGCGAACTCAATTACCAGATGTTGGTTTCATATTTTCAGCCATTGTTGCACTGTAACTGTCTCTTCACTGAATACTTGCAAACAAGTACTTACTTTTTATCGTTCTATTGGTTTAGGATTTATTGATGTTTCAGTCAACTTAGATAACTTTAATAATTGTTTTTTTTCAAGTATATATAAGTTTAACTAAATCTCTCTAATTTGCAATGTAAGATATTTCATTATAAATAAACTGCAACTGACCTAACTTTTCTATCAGCCAATTATTCCTAATGCACTTGATAAGATGGACATAGTCATATAAAATATAAGTTCCATTTTGACATAGCCAAGGTTTTCCATCTACTGTTTTGAATTTAGAAAAAAAGCTTTGGTTAACTTTATTACTATCAGTAATAATCCAACTACTTTACCATTAAATATAGAACTTCCTATCGTGTCTACAATTAACTTGTATTGGTCTAATCGGAAATCTGTTGTTAGATTAGTAACTGGTAAAACTCTTGCTAAAAATTCAGGACCACCATAAAGACTTTTGATCATAAATGAAAGTACAGTAGTAGCTAATTTCTCTGGATTATTAACAGCTTTTCCAAAAATATTTCCACTTTGATATAATAAAGCAGCTTTTACATAAACTTCATCTATCAATAAAACACAATTTCTTTTTTTTTCCTCGAGGTTTAATAGCACAGAACTTAAAAAAACCAAATCGTCTTGAGAATTTATTTTTGAAGTTATATGAGTTAAAGTTCGAATACTTGGCAACTGATAATCACAACACAATTGATTGTAAGTAGAACGACTTGTTGCAAAATATCCAAAAGCCCTGGTTATTATATCAGGTGAATATACAGTTAAGCAAACAGAATGATCTCCCATTAAATTTAGATGCTGAAATAATATTTGGGTTTTATGATCCTCATCTTTAACTTTTAGATATCTAAGAGCTTCATTTAAAGCTGACTTTGTATTAAATGAAGTTATTCTGTTTTTCGAAGGAGGTTTAACAAATTAAATGCTAATAATGAAATGCTTCAAACATTAAACTTTGATTAATTATCAGCTAAAATAGTGGAACCCCACAATTAAAAACTTTAGATTGGATAAAAATAGAATTGTTTTGCTTGTAAGTAATTATATCATTTTCAGTAGATAAGTATTTTTCAGTTTCTTCAAACTTTAAACTATCAATTATTCTATAATCTTCTAATTTATCTTTTACAATGTCTCTTTTTGAAGAAGAAGATAAGGTTTTTTTCATTTTTGGTGGTGGAGAGGATAGACAACTTTTAGAGATATTTGGAAACACTGATGGAGGATTAATTGGTCTCAATTTACCACGATATAAAGTAAACTCAGCATCTTCTGGCCAATGCAATTTACAAACAACACTATATTTTGTTAAAGTCCAGGGTGAGCGAGGAATACTCATAAACCACTTGTTTTTTTCAGATACTTCACAAGGAAATTTGTATACAGATATTTTACAATCTGAAGACTTATGATTTGAGTAACAATTTGGTACGCAGCATTTTAAAGGCATCATAAATTATTTATTTTTAATTTCTTTAAAAGCAGCTACAGCTTTTACAACTTTAAACAGCTTTTTTAAAACCAGCCTTCAGTCGAGAAAATTCCTGCACGGTGTCGAGGCCTTCTATTAAGAAGGCCCTGACTATGACCATTGATTAATTGGTCTCAAAAGAACCAGAACTATAGATATTTCAGAAACAATAATGTTTATAAATAAAAATGATATATATATATATATATATATATATATATATATATATATATATATATATATATATATATATATATATATATATATACATATATATATATATATATATATATATATATATATATATATATATATATATATATATATATATATTTATTATGCGGTAGTGGTGTAGTGGTAGAGCACTCGCTTCATAAACGAGTGGTTCCGAGTTCGATCCCCACCATGTCCCTGGTAGTACCGCGCTTAACTCGTTTCTCCGCGCAGCGGCCTTGTTCGTCAAAGGTTCGTGTTTCGGAGTTATAGAGTTGAGAGAGGGTTATAGCCACAAAATAAGTAGCCTCCTCGTCTGTAGTGGCCTTCTCAGCCTTGAGGAGGTGAAGTAAAAGAAAATTAAAAAATATATATACATATATATATATATATATATATATATATATATATATATATATATATATACAACCGTTGGAATAAGGGTCGGCATTCGGTAATGCTGACCTAACTGCCGACCTTAAAGTGTTTGATGTTGGCGACAAATTGTCAACCTCGTTTCTATGTTTTATGATAAGACCTTTGTATAAAATTTTTTTTGCCGACCTGATGCCGACCTTTACAAGATTAAGGTTGGCAAATTATCGCCGACCTCGTTTTTACTAATTCCAAGGGTTGTATATATATATATTTATATATACATATATATATATATATATATATATATATATATATATATATATATATATATTTATATATATATATATATATATATCTGATATAGCATGTTTAGATAAGCATATGCTTACTAGTTTTACATATATTTATAGCATAGAGATTTTTCAGAAAAGCAATAGATTGTTACTCCATCCCAAACCCTCAGTCAGTGTAGCAGCACTCCTTTGCAACAGCAAGCTATAAAATAGTCGATGTATGTACTGAAGCCCCCGGCAGCAAGCTATTTCAGTGTGATGCCACAGTGCTTACCTAAACATGCATTTATAGTTCTGTATGTTAGACATTGTTTTAAATAAAAAATGCTTAGTGCATTAACCTAATATGAATATGATGTCATAAAATTCTTTTTATTTTTTTATCTTTTAAAGACATTTTTTAAATTACTGCAATAATATTAACTGCAATTTGATATAATAAAGCACTTTGATATAATAAAGCAGCTTTTACATAAACTTCATCTATCAATAAAACACAATTTCTTTTTTTTTCCTCAAGGTTTAATAGCACAGAACTTAAAAAAACCAAATCGTCTTGAGAATTTATTTTTGAAGTTATATGAGTTAAAGTTCGAATACTTGGCAACTGATAATCACAACACAATTGATTGTAAGTGGAACGACTTGTTGCAAAATATCCAAAAGCCCTGGTTATTATATCAGTTTATATAACTGTTATAATAAGTAGTATATATAAATATTTTTTTTATAAATGATATATACAACAATGTAATTTTAATCAATAATGTTTGGAAAAATAATCTTTGCTTTTAAAACAAAATTACAAACTGAAAATAAAAACTTAGAAGATCATTTAATAAAGTCATTTATCCGGTTCGATTACATTTACAGCAGAAGTTGCTACAATGAATACAAATATGACTCTTTTACCAAGGTTTCAAGTTGATTTTACAATTGCAAATTCAGTTAGAGAAATTTTAAGTTTTGAGAGTAAAAAATATTTAAACCATTTTAAAACAAAATTACAAACTGAAACTAAATACTTAGAAGATCATTTACTAAAAGATAGTCATTTATCCGGTTCGATTACATTTACAGCAGAAGTTGCTACAATGAATACAAATATGACTCTTTTACCAAGGTTTCAAGTTGATTTTACAATTGCAAATTCAGTTAGAGAAATTTTAAGTTTTGAGAGTAAAAAATATTTAAACCATTTTAAAACAAAATTACAAACTGAAACTAAATACTTAGAAGATCATTTACTAAAAGATAGTCATTTATCCAGTTCGATTACATTTACAGCAGAAGTTGCTACAATGAATACAAATATGACTCTTTTACCAAGGTTTCAAGTTGATTTTACAATCAACTTGAAACCTTCATTTATATTATACTCTAAAAAATCCATTATTTTTAGTTTGTAATTTTGTTTTAAAAGCAAAGATTATTTTTCCAAACATTATTGATTAAAATTACATTGTTGTATATATCATTTATAAAAAAAATAATCGCTGCGCTTTAACTTGCATTATAAAAAATTATTTCTAAATATATTATACAAAAAATATATAGCTACCTTAAATAAACTAAAAAGCCCTTGAGTTTGATCTGCAGATATTTCCATACCTAACATATGCTTTAGTTGACTGCTAAAAACATGACAGGCAGCACCTGTAGTATAACCACTAATCAAAGGATCAGACAGATATGAAGTGATGATATCAAAACGAAGCATTGCTAATGTAATCTATAATAACCATTAACAATAAATTTTTTAAGAATTCCAACTTTACTTTGAAAAAAATTTCTTATAAAATAAATTTAAAACTAATATTTTTTACAAAAGTCTTAGTAACTCCTTTCTAGAACTAACTCCCTAAAACTCAACATTCTACATATACTATACTCTTAGAACTCCTCACTCATCCTTAGAATTCCCCACTCAATATCAAAACTCTCCACTCATCCTTAAAACTCTAAACTCATTATTAAAACTCTACTCATTCTTAAAGCTCCCACTCATCCTTAGAACTCTATATTCATCCTGAGAATTTCCCACGCATACTTAGAACTCTATACTCATTCTTGAAACTCCCTACTAATTTTTAGAACTCTTTACTTATCCCTAGAAACCATTACACATACCCTACACATAGTTAAGCCCTGGAAACCAATTTTTATTTTACTCAATTTTTCATCATGTTGCTTTCAAGCTATGTTTCAATCTTTGAAATATATTTATTATTATTACTTTATTATTTGTGTCATTCAAGTTTTAGAAGCAGTTAATAGTGTAATTAATTTAAGTTTTTGTTTTGTATTTTTTGATATGCTTTTATTTTTATAAGTTGTAATTTGTTATTATTTGAACAATTTTTGTTTATTATTTTTTGGTGTTGATTACATGAAAAGGTCACTAATCAAGCATTATTTTACTCCATCTACTGTATCATCCACTGTGTCCATCTATTGTATCGTCCACTGTGCATTGATTGCAGAAGTAGCTGACAACTAGCAGCTTGTACAAGAATTGCAAATAAATGGATTACCATTCAAATGTAAGCATTATAGAAAATTTAGATTGTTATATTTATATGCTATGATAACCTTTACCATCACAGTCCTCCTACTTTGGGGATTCTATACCTCCTGGGCCTTTGCAGCTGGCTTTAAAAAAAATGATATTCTTACAAGCTTGCAAATTATTTGTCTGAGTTACACAACAACGGTGTTTTGAAAGAATGGTACCGTTATTGCAATTTTCTAGAAACTCCTTCAAGAAAGGCATTGAGTTGACCAGCTCAGGTTCCTTCTTCTCCCTCTATTTTTCGAATTTAAATAACTAAACTGGTTGAAGGCACTAACATAGTTTGAATCATTGTCTGTAGTTGTTGCAACAATGTAAAGATTAAAAAAACCAAATTAAAAAACCAAATTAAAATACCAAGTTAAAATACCAAATTTCAATTGCCTACATTTTTAAATTTTCAAAACATGTTCTAGGACTGGAAGCAGTTATCAGCTGACAGTTATCAGTTCACTTGACAACTGCTAAGAGCTTCCCAGTTTGGGATCATTTAAACTCTTGAATCTTTAAATTTTTCGAGAATAAAATTTAAGAATCTTAACTAAAAGTTACCCTACTGTTGAACAAAAATATTTTTAAAACTTGAAAAAAGTAACATATATGATTTTGCAAGAAAAATTATAAATGTAAAAAAACAATACAATGTTTATGTAATAAACATTGGATTGTTTATTGTTATAATTTATACAGCCCTTGGAATTAGGAAAAAAATGAGGTTGGCAAAAAATTGCCAACTTAAAACCAGTTTACATTAGCATCAGGTCGACACAAGACTTTGAAAGAGGGTTTGACAAATTGATAAATGTGCAAATGTTTAACTCAAAATTGATAAAAAAAATTAACAATGAGTTTGTTGCTATTTGCTTAAAAATCTGAAAAACAAACTAAAGTTTTGCCAATTTTTTTTTAATTTTTTTATTTAGAATTGATAAAACATTTATTTTCTAATTTTTAATTTAGTTCTTTTGTTTACAACTTTAATAAAAGGTTAGTTTTTCGATTGTAAATAGAATATTTATTTCGTAATTATTTCATTAGGAATTTTTTTAAAAAATTGATTATTTTTTTCTAAGACTTTTATTTAGAATTTAATTAAAATGTTCATTTTTTTATTTTTATTTTTATTATTTTACTTAAATCTGAAATAAAACATTTTGCTGATGCTTTTTTTAATTAATTTGTTCACAATTTTAATAAAAACGTTTGTTTTATTTTTTTATTTAGTTTTTTGTTGTCTATCCTTTCAAAACTATTCAACAAGTGCCTATCAGAGTCTTGTTTTCCAGCCTACTGGAAAGCAACATCTGTTATCCCTATTTTTTAAAATTTTGGAGAGCGATCTGATTTGTCTAAATACCGTCCCATTAGTCTTCTTCCTATTATAAGCAAGATTTTTGAATCTTTAATTAACAAACAATCTATAATCTTGAATCTAATAACTAACTTTCTGATCATCAATCGATTTGGATCTTCTCGTTCTACGGCTGATTTGCTAAAGTAATAACCGATAGGTTTTATTGTGCATTAGATAAAGATGAAGAGGTTAAGGCCATCACTCTTGATATTTCTAAAGCGTTTGATAAAGTTTGGCATGCTGATCTTCTCCATAAGCTATCTACTTACGGTGTATCTGGAAATATCTTTAAGATTATTGAATCCTTCCTTTCCAATCATAGAATAAAAGTTGTCCTTGATAGACAGCAATCTTCTTTTTATTCTGTAACCTCAGGGGTTCCTCAAGGTTCAATCCATAGTCCTATACTCTTATGAATTTACATTAACGATCTTTCAGATATTCTCACATTTAAAGTGTTATTGTTCGCTGATGATACTACCATTCTTGTCATGATAAGAAGCCAATTCTCTCTGATTGCTTAAAGGGGGCATTTGAGCTTGAAAAGGATCTCACTTCTGCTACAGCATGGGGCTTACAGTGGCTGGTGAACTTTAATTCGAATAAAACTTATTTTTTTTCATCCAATTGTTATTGCAATAATTTAGATCTTCCTATATTTATGAACCGTAATGTATTTGATGAGTCATCTACCCTTCATCTTCTTAGATTAACTCTTACTTCTGATCTTTCTTGGAAACCAAATATCAAATCCATAGTTGGACCTGCTCTTGCAGCCAACTTTCAACCATTATTACATCGCCGTAATCTAGCTTCTCTTTCTTCTTTCTACAAATACTATATTGGGCACTGCTCTAAAGAGCTAGCGTCTCTTGTGCCATCTACTAAAATTCACTCTTGTGTTACTTTTCTTTCAATTAAGTCTTATCCTTTTTCTGTTACTGTTTCTAAGTGCTCCAAAAACTCTTATTTATCTAGTTTTTTTCCTCAAGCATCAGTTCTTTGGAATTCGCTTCCTTCATCTTGCTTTCCTTATTCATATAGTTTGCAATCTTTTAAGTTGTCTGTCAATCGTTATCTTGCTCTACAATCTTCATCTTTTCTCTTCCAGTAACTTCCATTAGTGGTTGCTTGCAGCCTTGTTGAAAGCGAAGATGTTAAAAAAAAAAAAAAATTTCATGTTTTAATTTAATTATTTCATTTAGAATTTAAATAATACGTTTGTTTTACCATTTTTTTTAGTAATTTAGTTTAGAATTGAAATATAATATTCATTTTTTTTTGTTTATATTTAAACTATTTAATTTAGAATTTATATGAATTTTATTTTCACTTTTACGTTTTTATTTTAATTATTTTAATTATATTTTAAGTAAATCAATTGCTTTGCCTTTTTTCAATTTATTTAAAATAGCAAACAAAATTAAGTTTAAAAATTCTGAGGCCGGCAAGAAATGGCAACCTCAGACACTCCTAGGTAGCAGTTAGGTTGTCAAATACCAACTCTAAATCTGAGGGCTGTCATATCTATAAGAAAATCGCATTTGTTTTGCAATTTTTAAAAGTTTTTCTTCAACTTTATATAAAGATTACAATAACATAATGGAAAATTTTATACTGATGCATATATATACACAGTATAGTTCATATATCAAGCTAGTTGCAGATATTTTATATAAAGCACACACACACCGCTTTGTCAAAGTTTTTAAATTAAATTATACACAACTGAGATTCTTTTGATAACACAGAAAAATTTTGATATTTAAAAAGGTTCATATTTTTTCAACTTCAATTTAAGTAAATTTACTAAAAATAAGGTGGAAGAAAAATGAACCTTTTTAATAATAACCATTATAATAGTTGCTATAGATATTCATGTTTTTATTTATGAAAAAATGAATATCTATAGCAACTATTGTTGCTAAGGTAATTAAATAGCCAAGTTACTTATAAAGTAATCTTATGGACTTTATATTAATTTTTATGTAAACTTAATAAATAGGAAGATAATACGTAATTCAGGTAATTTTTATGTAAACTTAATAAATAGCAAGATAACATGTAATTCAGGTAGATTTTATTTTCAGTTTTCAATTTTTGATTTTAATTTTCATTTTATTTTTCAGTTTTCCCAATAGTAACAGCTATCTCTACTTCATTTAATATTTTAAATTAGTCACAAAAAAAAGATATAGACATAGACAAGATATAGACAAGACAAGATATAGACATAGACAAGATATAGACAAGATTTAACTGCCAACAAAAAAATTTACCTGTAAAATACCAACAAAAAAAGAAACAGTAACAGCATATTGAAGTCTAAGATTTATATCATTTTCAGCACTGGTTGAATTACTTAAACCAGCTGTGACATTACTATACGAGGCTAACACCATTTGTTTTTGTACTACTTTTCCAACCATTAGTGAAGTGACAGCGAATGTTCCTAAAAATATTAAAAATATAAATATTAGTTAATAAAATTTAATAATAACCATTTAAATTATGTATGTGTGACACTTCACAAAAAAATCCAGCAATCCAGCAAAAGAATCTAAGAATAATTTCAATGTTAAAAAAACATATCTGCTATGGTATTGAATTTATAATATTATGGAAGCTTTCAAAAACTTATACAAAAAGAACCTATTATTTATAGTATTAAATCAGTACACTTACTTAGTGTACCAACTGTGTACCAACAATCTTTTTTTTTTAATACTTACAAAGAAATGAAAATAAGTAAAAAAAAAAACATTAAATATATACAGACATAAAAACATATTTAAATAAAAACATTTAAGCTTTACCAATGCAAAGATGCCTAGAAGAACCCATAATAAAATAAACTATTGATGGAGTAAAGGAGGTGTACAGCCCATAGACAGCTGGAAGAGTTGAAAGCATGGCATAAGCTAAACCTGAAAAAAAACTAAAAATTAAAAAAAAACCAAATCAAAGTAAGAATAAAAACAAAACAAAAATTTATAAAATTTATAACTAAAATTTTAGTTTTTAATTTTTTTCTAAATATTTTTATTCATTAATTAAATTTGTTTTTAAAATTTTCTAATCATTTATATTTTTTTAAAATTTAAATTATATTAAAAATTTATTTTTATTTAAAATAAACAATTAAAAATTTAAATCAAATTTTAAATCAAATTTTAAATTATTTTTCTAGGTTTGTGTATTAATTTTTATTTTATTTATTAGTATAACTTGTTAACAATTTTAAAAACTTTTTAATAATTTTAAAAATAACTTAAAACATTTTAATACTTATATTCATTTTGGCCGTGTATTGGTAGGGTATGCAGGTATCGGTAGAGTATACAGGTATCGGTAAGGTATGCAGGTATTGTTAGGGTATCCAGGTATCGGTAGGGTATGCAGGGAGTGTACATACATCAACTGACTTTAATAGGTAGAGCATGCAGAGAGTGTATATACATAGATTGAGGGTATTGGATTTGGGTAGGCAACCTACTAGTTTAAAGAAAAATCTTTTTCAAGTTTTACAAGTCTGTTTTATATTGTTTAATTTAAAATTACAGTTGATGGAAAAAACTTTGGAAGGGTACTAAGGTGTCATGCCTATAAGCAATCTTTTCCATCTACAATCATTATCAGTTTCACCAATAATTAGCCATATTTATTTTTTAATTTAAGAAAAAACTATTTAAAAAATAATGCTGAAAAAAACAACAACAATAGAATAGAATAAACAATAGAATAAACAAAGCAATAGAATAAGTTCTGGTGGGAAAATAAAACAAATACTTTATATTTAACATTACATTAGGGTAATTCCACATCAAATCACCCAAATTTTTCAAGATTTTGAACCATAGGTCTCATATTTTCTTTAAACTTCTTTAGCTGTTGCATTTCATATAGAAAAGTTCACATGCAAAATTTTAGCCAAAAATGTTCAGCCGTTCACAAGATATCAAGGTTTTAATATAGACCTGGTTTCCCAAAATGACCTGGTTTCTGTGTCATTTTAAAAAAACGTTTGCTCTAATAAAATGAAAAATAATGAAAATAAAAATATGAAAATTAGCATTTATAATGCTTTTCTAATGCAGAATTCAAAAAATGCACTTAGAATGCTGAAATATGAGCAGAACATGCTTTAAAATTAAAAACACACCTAATTTATATATTCAAACTTAGGGGTCATATATCTCAAAACACCCCCGTCTAGATTTTTTTTTTTTTGCTTTTAATATTTTTAGCTACTTATTATCTTACTAGGCACAAAAAACCTAACTGGAAAAACAACTAAAACATATAGAACCATAGTTTCCAAGATACACCACTTTTATGGGTGCCCATAGCAATTTTCTAACGAGGGTGAGGGGTGAGGGAACAACAAAATATTTTTAGTGATGTTCTAATTTAGTTCAATTTACCAAGAATACTTAAAAAAAAGCATATTGCAAAAGACATGGTGAAAACAACTTTTTTTTATTACAGTTAGAGGGGAGGAGAATAGTGTTTCAATAACACCTGGCATTGCCATATCTCTGTCATTTAAACCATTTAGCCAATAAAACATATCAAACTACTTTGTATGAACAGTAGTTACTTAGTAGTGATAAGTTGTAGATGAGTTAAAAAATAGAAAGTAGGATTAAATCCACTGAGACATCATTGTTAACTCTTATCAAGCTCCAATTATCCTACAGCCAAAGATTTGGAAATATCTAATACTATATCATTATTTAATATATTTAAAACTAGAGCTTTTTTTTTTACTGAAAACTAAGTAGGAAAGATCTTTTTTTTTTTTGTATCCTTCGAATTGCTTTTTTCTTACTGCAAAAGCATTCAATACACTTCATTGCAAACTAATTAAAAAATTAAAAGGGTATGGCATCACTTAAAAGCTGCTAAAAATCTTCCTAAAGATAGTACATGTGTAGCAAATTATAGAATTCTGTAAAGAATTAATTTTGGTTAATAGACTTTTTATATATTTAAGGAAGTCTTAATTATATGATAACTTAATTATATGAACTTAACAACTGAAAAAACATACGGATTTGTTTTTATATAAAAACATTTTATAAAGAATAATTGTTATGTTAATATGATATTTTTTTAAATTTTGACAACTATAGCTTGTAAAAGTTTATTAAAAATTAGTTTATAAAAGTTTAGTTTATAAAAGTTCAGATATAGAACAACATTTATTGGTAAGATTATATTTAAATTTTTAAAAATTATTAATTTAAATAATATAATTATTTAAAAACTTCTTTTTTTAAAACATTTATTAATATTAATAATAATAATATTAAGAACAACATTTATTAAAAATTATATTTATTAAAAAACTTTTTTTACATACAATTAAGTAGAAGAATTTTATTTTTATTTTTAGGAAATACTTTCATACTAAATAATTTATCTTATTAAGATGTGTTCTATTGGGTTAATGACATCAGATGCTTGCGAAGGCCAACAAGATGTTATTGAAACTTTAAGCAATAAAGAAAAAATAATTATATCTTTATGCTGTAATATTGAATTATCAAACTTAGAAATATTATGTGAAAGACATAATACAAAATATTTGAAAATGTATCCTATATGGCAGAAAGCTTGTTGTGATCCATTCAATAGACATACAAAGAAAATCACAAGTATGTAGCTGTAAAATTTAAATATTTCATTAATTTATGTTTTTCAAAAAATAAACAAAAGTTTTGAACTAATGTGCAGACATACTTTATACAATTCAATTACTTTTAGAAAATCTTGGCGTAGTTACAATAAAAGAGTCACAAGTCATGATGAGAAATTGTTTGAATATTCCTCCTGGGAAGAAACTTTGCAAACCTTGTAAACAAAAGATTGCCAGAAAAAAAGAACTTACAGAAGAGGAGCAAAGTAAGAGTGAACAAGATGAGGATTTTCTAATATCACCATGCAAAAAAATAAGACAGGAGATCAATAAAGAACTCAAAAATTTTAGTTTATCTCCTCTAAAATCTCATTCAAAATCATTAAAACATATACTGTCAGAAGGAAAGCAAAAAGTTGCATGCATCAACGAAATGGCGTATAACGCTACTAGAAAAATTGAAACTCAATTTTCCTCAAAACTATGTTATGAAACCAATGGGATAAAAAAGAAGGCTGCAAACTTTGATGAAATTATGAGCTTGGTAAAAAAAAAAATTCTATGTTCTGACAAACGAACTATTGTTCAACTTCTAACACTGGCACCCCCAAGTTGGTCAATATAAGAAGTACAAAATAACTTTTCAGTTAAAGAATACAAGGCCAAGATGGCTAGAAAAATTTTTAATAAAAAAGGATTGTTAGGTATCTCTCCATTGTATAAGGGTAAAGTCTTACATAAAGAAATAGAAGATTCAGTTAAATTGTTTTATGACTCAAGTGATTTATGTCGAACTATGCCTGGAAAAAAAGATTATGCCAGCATTCAAAAGAACGTCCACAAACAAAAAAAACTGCTTTTGTGTAATTTAAAGGAACTATATGTATTATACAAAGAAAACAATCCAGAAATACAAATAAGTTACTCAAAATTTGCTTCACTTAGACCAAAGTTTTGCCAGGTGCAAGTGGTACACATTCTGTTTGTGTTTGTTCTTATCACCAAAATGCCATTTTGCTAGTGGATGCCTTAAATATTGAACTAACGTATAAGGATTTACTTTTGAAAACTGTTTGCTCAGTAGAAAACAAAGAATGCATGCTTGCACAGTGTGATAATTGTCCTGGTAAAGAACTGCTCACCATGTATTTGTATGAGATTTTTGGAGAATACGAAGATGATTTTGAGATACACTACAAACAATGGCAAACTACTGATCGTGCAACACTATTGAGTTTAACAACAGATGTTCCAACGTTTATTGAACTATTGGTATCTTGTTTTGAAAAGCTACAATCTCATTCTTATATTGCCAAATCTCAATCACAATACCTTAATCAACTAAAAGAAAATATGGATCAATCAAACATTATCATTCTTGGCGACTTTGCTGAAAATTATGCTTTTGTAGTCCAAGATGAAATACAGAGCTATCACTGGAACACCCAACAATGTTCTTTACATCCATTAGTGATATACTATAAAGAAGAAAATGGTGTAGTGAAACATATTTCTTACTGTTTTATATCAGACGACATTACACACGATGTAACTTATGTATACAAGATATTTCAACTAATTATACCAAAATTAAAAACAAAATTTCTTGATTTATCCAAATTGCATTTATTCACTGATGGTTGGGCAGGACAGTACAAAAATTGTAAAAGCTTTTACAATCTATGCCAACTAGAGACAAAATTTTCCCTCAAAATTGAATGGAACTTTTTTGCCACGTCCCACGGAAAGTCACCATGCGATGGAATTGGTGGTACTGTAAAAAGGTTAACAGCACAAGAAAGTTTAAAACGACCATACAGAAACCAAATTCTCACATCAGAGGCTATGTATGAATTTTGTGTTGAGAAAATTAAGGCTGTTAACTTCATTTACATAAAGGGATTGGACTTACAATTGCAACGTGAAAAGCAAAAAGAAAGGTACACTGATGTAACAACTCTACCAGGTACTCGTAGCTTTCATCAATTTATACATCTTGGAGATAATAGGGTTGGGGCGAAGAGGTGTAGTACAGACACTAAATATACAATAATTCACTATCTTAAAAAGAAACATATATTTGAACCTGATACTGTCACTTTAGGAGGTTATGTTGCGGTAGTTTATGATGATAAGTGGTGGATCGGCATTGTAACTGAAATCAACCTAGAAGAAGTTGATGCTGAAGTTAAGTTTCTCCACCCAAGAGGTCCATCAATCTATTTTAACTGGCCTGAAAGAGACGACCACTGTTTTATTCCTAACATCAATATATTGAAAAAACTA